ATTAGTAGGCCCTCACACTGGAAAATGGACTCAAAAGTATGGTAAGGACCAGAGTCAGGGGAAACACACTCCCAGTATGCAGGGGGAATCCAAGAATGCATACTGGGGCACACTCTTGCCTGCCCAGCACCAAAAGATGTCAGCTTCCTTGAGTGCTTTACTGCATACCAGTTCCTGCGAGCCTGCCACATGACAGCTCTTCACTCAACACCATTTCATGCCTTGTCATGTGCCATCTATGCTTCACAACACTACATTCCCACGGTATTAACAATAGCAGGTAGTTCCTTCCTATTGTTATCCCTATTTGGCAGGTAGGAAAAATGAAACCCTAGACATTATATGGCTGGTCCAGTCACCCCGGCTTCTGACTTCAAAGACTTAGTATCATTCTGCTCCTGAGAACTTGCACCTGGGTTAGCTGTTGGGGCAGCCCTTGTCCCAGTTGTCATGGTACCCTTGTCAACTTGAGCAAATCCACCCTCATCTCTAAACACGGACTGAGGCTATGGACTCAAGGCCTCTTCCAGTTAATATCCACCTGGTCCTGCAACCTAGGTCACACTGTTCCAGTTTAATCACTGCTGGGCTGCGACCTTGGACAACTTGTCTAGCTTCCCCTGTGCTTCAATCTTTTCAATAAAACAAGATGATCATGTTACCTCATTACTGATACCCCTTTTAATATTTCCCTTCAACTGCTGTCAAACCAAAGTGGGCCCTCGTTCAGCAAGCAGTCTTGGATGGTGTACATATACCTTTAACTTAAAAGCTTTTTCTTCCATACAACCCTACGGAGAATCAATCAAACTCATTTAAGGAAAGGATTGGAGCATTCTTTCAAACCAACAGACTGCAGGAACTGGTGGACAATTAAACAGCTTTAAGCACAAATGTGCCTCCTTAACTTGGACCAGTGTTTTTACCTCGGCTACTAAGAAATACTTCACAATAGACTTGGGCCACCTGGTTTTGAAACCAGAGAGCCTTCCCTGGCTATGGAATTCCTCTGGGGTGTTCCCAAGGGAAAAAACAGTAATTGTGCACTTTATAAAGCTTATCAAGTTAATTTAAAAGCCCCTGGAGTTTGTTGTTCATCAGTCCTCACCTAATAAGCAATACTCGCCAATACTGTTCTTACATTCCCGAAAGAGTTAATACTGGGGTTAAGACCAGGAGACTAAAGTAGCCATAGCAACTAGTCATAGCTTTGAAGCATGACAAAGATTAACAGTTAACGTGGACAGGATCACTGTAAACCCATCCACAATAGCACAGCTTTGTCCTTGACAGTGACATTTACTCACATTAAATTATTAGCCCTGGCTAGTGTGGGTCAGTGGATTGAATGCTAGCCTGCAAACCAAAGGATAATTGGTTCGATTCCTAGTCAGGGTACATGCTTGGGTTGAGGGCCAAGTCCCCAGTAGGGGCCACGTGAAAGGTAACCACACACTGATGTTACTCTTCCCCCTTTTGTCTTCTCTAAAAATAAAATCTTTAAAATAGTATTTTTTTAAAAAAATTGAGCATCATCTAGCATCAAGACAAAGACCTTCGCCAAGGAATGTCTTAACTGAGTGCTTAACAATTGTGGCACCTTCCTAGATGACAGTATATAATTTCCATAGTATATATACCTCAAGATGTACATGTACATGCTTCATATGTGTAGAAGAAAAAGCTTGATGACACACAGCATTTTCTGGCTCTAAAAAATAACTGCTCATTGCATGTGCCTGTTAAGACAAAAATTGTCTGTTAAGACAAAAATTGTAACAAGCTGCCTCCAGAAAACCTGAAAGAGATCATTCTTTTCCAACAGAGGTACAATTTACATTGTTTTACAATTAAAAAGATGTGCCCTAAATCCTGACAATCACTGTATGGCAATTATAGGGCATTTTACCATTGAGCTGAGGAAGTAAAAAAGTAGTGGAAAGGAAAACAAGGGCTTTGAAGTCAAGGCTGGCCTGGGTTCTGAATATACCACTTGTTTAACAAGATGAGTAATTGTGAGGAATTATCTGCCCTCCCTTTACGTGATACCTCTCAAGTGGTCATGTATCACGTTAGAAAATAGGCCCTGTACAATGTTTGGCAAAGGAGTACTCGAATATAAAACTTCCTCTCCTGAAAACCACAGCGTAGGCAGGACAAAAAAAATTTTTTTTTAAGATTTTATTTTCAGAGAGATGGGGAGGGAGGAAGACAGAGAAACATCAATGTGTGAGAGGAACACTGCGAGAGGATGTGGCTGTGACTTGCACACCCTCAACTGAGGACCTGGACAGCAACCCAGGCATGTGTCATGACTGGGAATAGAACCAGCAACCTTTCAATACACAGGCTGGCTAGTGCTCAACCCACTGAGCAATACCATTCAGGGCTAAAAAAATTTAACTTTCTTCCCTGATCCAGCTAACACTTCCTTGATGCTTCCAACACCCGCTGGCTTTTTTTTTTTAATCCTCACCTGAGGACATTCTTTCATTGCCTTCAAAGAGGAAGTGAAAAAACATCGATGTGAGACAAGCACTGACTCGTTGCATCCCATTCGTGCCCAGACTGGGATCAAACCCACGTTTTGGTTACAGAACAATGCTCCAACCGAGCCATACTGGCCAGAGCTAGCCACTGTTTTAAAAGATTTTGTTCTTGCCCCTCTCCAAATCATCAGCGTGCTCATGTATTCCTTAATACTTAAAAAGTAGGCAACTCCTCCTCCCAACCTAGCTTCTGGAGGCCAATTTCATGTCTACTAAACTGCCATACATTGTCAATACAAGTCTACCAGCACCAGGACAGCCAGTTCAATGTCTTGTCCCCATTAAACCCCCGAGAGCTTGCATACAACAGCCAACCATTTCATCATTGCAGTCTAACGCTCCCAACTCCTTGGCCTTCCTGCCAGTACTGGTTATCCCACACCTGCTTATTTGGTAGTATGGCTGAAAGTCAAATCACACTGGGCCTACTTCAAGTTTTAGAATCCTTTTAGCTTTACCTCTAAAACCTTAAGGCAGCTGCACAACCTCCTTCCTTGTAAACTACTTCAGATTCTTTACCCAACATAGCCTTTCCTTCTGTGAGCTCTGCCTTCACTGCCCACCCCCATGCAGGTCTCACCTGCCTCTAGGTAGGTAGTTTTTCAAAGGGCCCTCAACCAAAGATTTGTACCCCATCCCCCACTAAGTGCCTATTTGTCACGGGCTGCCACGCAGGGAAAGTATGACCTTTAAAAACAATTAAATGACACATCAACATTCTAATTTGTATTTACTTATAAAGCACTCTTGCTGAAACATGATTTTATCTAAAAACAAATTTCCTATAAATTCTGGTGGCACAGTCAGAATGGGTTAAAATAAAGCTATCAGCTGCCTAAGTTTCAAAGGATAAGAAATTGCTTCCTAAAGAAAAATTTTCTTTCAAAAAATTTAAGCTTTCAACACTTACATTTTTATACTTATCACTTCCGTTTCCTATCCAGTTAACAAAGTGACCCCACCCCCACCCCAAGGAAATAACAGCATTCAGCAACTTATCCCCTAGGTTCTGATTCGAAGTTTAGGGGCTTGTTAGCAAGTTACAAAATACTAAAAAGGAAGTTAACTCACCCCAAATGAAATCTAAATTAAGGAGCTACTAAAACAAAGGTGCTTATTCGCAAGAGAAAAGGATTTTAAAAAGAGGGAAAGCCACCTAACAGGCTACGTTTCTGGAGGGCTTCACTTTGCTCTGAAAATATTTTCCCTCTCAGGACCTCTCCAGACGATCACCACAAAGAAACAAAGTATCAATGCCTCCAGAGGTTTTTCACTTCCCGGAAGACTAAGTCCCTACACATACTAACAGTAAAAGAACTCAATGGCCAGATTCAGATTCTAAGACCTTAAGTAAGAGACTCTTATACAATGCCGTTTTTATGTATGTCAAAACTAAGGAAAAACTGGATAAAACTAATGTTCTATACACATACTTCATGTTAATATGGGAAATTTTTATAGTTGGTTATGTGTTCCATAAAATTAAGAAACTGGGATCCTAAGTGATGTCTATATACCGTTATAATGAATTTCTGCAATTCAGGCAAAGTTGCATGAAAAAAATTAAGCAGTTATACTGAGTTTTCGAAAGAAATTTTCTCTTTCTCAGAACTTCACAAATGTGCTGCAGTTGAATTGAGGTATCCAATGAATCAAAATAGGATAAAATTGTTACTTAACACTATCAGATTGTGTTGATAAAAATATATATACTCCAACCCAGTTTTTTCTTTAGCTACTTTAATTATAAAAATCTTTCATTTGTCCCCCTCTCCAATGGAAAACAGGCCGTACAAAAATATACAACTGGAGGACATCACCAACTAGGTCTTGCAACTGAATCATGTTCAGGATTCAGAAAAGTAAAAGCATATTAAGACACAGCACTAAGGCAGTGGTTTTACATAACCAGCAATTTTATCACCTGGGGGGAACTCCTCCAAGTAACACAGGGCTTGAGATCACTGTGGAAAACTGAGCCAATGAGCCTGGAATTAGGATGCATACATTTAGAAAAATTTCTGTGATCACTATTACTGATTAAAACCATTATACTAATATGAACCATGACTACAATAATAAGCAACCAGGACTCCCCCCATTCCAATATAGGTATATCTAACTAAAAGAGTGGAGATGCCATTTTTTGATCACGTATTTTTAAGGAACTGTAAAAAGTAAACAGATTATCTCCTAAAATTAAAATTTCTCTAATTTGTCTTCACCTTTCTGCTTAAGACATGGAGTTCAGAAGTAATCCACAATAAACTGAGACCCGTATTATTGCATATTCCTGAAAGCGTGAAAACCAACTACAACCCTAAGTTTCCTTAAATTATCACCAATAGTGACTTCTAGTGAAGACCTGTAGTCATTATACCACACGTCAGTTTTAATGACTGATTTTATCATTCAATTCAGAGAACACATGACCAAACTGACTAATGGGACTTTTATAGTAACCTCAGAACTTTTAATATAGCCACAACCTAAATGTACAATAGTTTTTCTTTCGTATTCTTTGCAAGCCATACATATTTGTGCAAAATGATTGTATATTTCAAACTGCCCAACCCACCAACCCCAGTAAGTCCGAGACTGACTTCATCTCAGCCTCTACGTTAGCCACATTATAACCAATAATTATCTTCTTTATAAGTTTTTCTAACTTAAGACTCTGAAAGTTGTTGTACTGCCCAAAAAGGTCCATGTAAATGTCCATTTATAACATCAGTTTAATTGTTGACATACCCTTATTACTTCCATGAATTTTCAGCTACCCTGCCTTGTTCCTAACAGTGTTTAGGCTTTGAGAAACCCCCGAAAGACAAAAGCCCAAAACCAGAGCTTCCAGCAAATCAACAGGTAACCTTAAATCTTCTGTAGCAAGGCTCACACTGAAGTTCATTGATTACCAATTCTCCCTTCTGACACCAATGACTCTCATCTCGTTGACCCCTTTGCATGACAGGTAAAGGACGAAAGGAAGAAATCTGTTTAAGACCTACATCTTACAAAATATCCTTATAGATTCAACTCAATGCAGGGACTTTTTTCCATATTAAAATCACAATAATCCAAAGCTATAATAAAATAGCACATTTAAGGAAACTAAGCCACAAGACTGTTGTATTATGATTTAATCTAATTGCACAAAATTTTGAAATTACAGCTCCTATGGATTTCTAAGAGGAAGGTTATGCATGCCTCCATATTCAAGTCTGCACTGTTACATTTGAACCATATAGTGAGTTTTACATAATGGATCAGTTTAGAATTCCCATGCAACACCTCAAATTATATAAAATGGAAGCAATTTTTAAAGCTTTGTGGAAAGTTCTCATGCTAATGCTAAAAGCCTTTTAATGGGCAACTTTGGGTTATAATGTACTAGGTTGCTAAACTTGAAAATATTGGTCACTGAGTATCATGGACTTTGAACTGGCTACCTTAAAAAAACAAACACACACACACACACACATACACACACACAGTCCCCCCAAAGTAGTAAGAACTAACGATCACTTAGGTGACAACCAGAAATTCCCTTCACTTTAAAAGCCTCAATTTTGTTTTTTGTAAGATTTGTGTAACCAACTACTTTCCATGGGACAAGAACTATGGTAATAGTGGGTCTGACTATTACAGTTACGCTATTATTTTATTAATTCAAAAGCACTTTACAAGAAAATATAAGTATGGCTTCCAATAGGAATGTTACACCTGAACTTGATACCAAGCTCACAGATTTTAGTTTTGCAAGGAAAAACAGGCTTTCATGTTAAACAACAATTTGTAACCAAAACTTTAATCCCAAGGATTCTCACAAAACATATTACAAATGACAGCATGAAAAAAAACTTTTGCACAGTAACTCAAAGTTCAGCTCTACAATGTACCCTTAAACTGGCAGGACACTGGTATCTTGAAGTCTCAAATTTCCAAATGAATAATGTCACAAAGAGCTATGTATTCATATACAGCAATCACGTAAGAAATTTATGACCTAAAGCAAAGAAAGGTAAACTAACTTTCTGGAAACTTCTTAGATTCTACACTAACTGGACAACTTCTGCCCAGTGTAAAGACTAGCTGGATTTTTTTTTTTTTTAATCTCTAATCTAGTTTAAGGGTGCAGCTTTAATTTTTACCTGCTGGTTTGTGTTCACAGCAGCTTTCGAAGGCTGCTTGTTCAACTACAGCTGCATGTTATATCCCAGCTATGGAAAGTCTTAAGTTCAATTTTTGTCAGTTTAGTTTCCATAATACTAAACATCACACTTTAGCTGGGAGAAGTTAAGAGATTTATTATCAGTCTATGCAAGACTCAAGTTCAAAGCAAAACCAATTTTGCTTAAGGGAACATTGTAAAGTAACAATTATTGGTATTACATTGCCTCATATGATCCATTTCAAACCATAGAGAATTACATCTTCATGTCACTGTTCCAAGACAAAGGTGAACAGCTAAAACATCTTAAAAATGCACCAAGCTTATGAAGTCTCAAACAAAACTTGAATTTTCTGTACATACTCCTGTCAAATGAAGTTATTTCCTGTACACCACTCCTCTTGAAAACTGGTCTATTTCCTTTCATTTGACCTAGATCGGCTAAAAAAAAAAAAGAGAGAGAAAAAAAATTCCATCTGTAATTTGGTGACAGTGACAGAATTTCAATACACTTTAATGCTAGAATAGGCTTAAGACCTATTTCTTTTTAATACATTATGTATGCAAGGTGTAAAATGGCTCAAGTCATTAAAAACCTTACCTACGAGACCTAGAGAAAGATCGGGACGGCTTGTGATTTCTTTCCCGAGACAGTGATCTCTCTCTTCTCCTATCCCTAGAAAGGGACCTAAAAACAGAGGAAAAAAAAAAATAAGACCATTAAGACCAAAATAAGACCAAATAAGAACAAGTACTACTAGTAAGTCTTTGAAAACTAAGAGCTGGTTCATTCTCACAACTTAATATTGGTTCTATGTACCACTTCACTCATTACTAAAGCCAACGCCTATTACCATATTAATCAAGTCATTTGGAAAACAGCTTCGCAATAATAGCAAGTAACACCGTCATTTCCAAGAATGTGGCCGAAAATCATTTACCTGCTCCGGCTGCGGGAGAAGCTTCTCCGTCTTGGAGATCTAAAAGCAGAAACAGGAAAGTTAGGCTAATTGTCAATTAGTTTTTATGGCGTGAGGCATTTCCCAACTTTTCAATCTCACTGTTGGGCCCAGTGAATGTGCCGGAAGAACTGGCACCCATCGTCCAAAAAAAGAAAAAAAAAGAAAAAAAAAGAAAAAAAGGCACAGAAGGATTAAGGAACCAAAAGCTCAAGTGAAAAGCAGGTATTCCAACCATGGACTCACTTTAACAAAGAATGCTTCACAGCAGATCTGTCCAATGCAAAACTTCATGTCAAACTAACTTCAGTACCCAAAACACCACGCCAAAATGTAGTCCCACAAGTAGTTCCAAAAACAGTACCATAAACCAGTATTTGGAACCCATGCAAACCTGTAAGTCTATGACAAGACTTAGGTACCAGGTGGATAGTGTAATTTTGTGAAAACGCGGTAGGTGTAAATATTGATGCCATTAAGTGCTTACATTAGAACTGCATTTGTGATCGTCACATTTAAGAGTGTGTTTAGACTTATCAAAATTACCTTAGCTTGGCCCGCTTCACCCCCAAAATTTTAAAATTTTGAAAACTGTTAGTAAAACCATTTAAAGGTGATAGGAGTCAACAAAATTTTGCTAGAAAGGAAAGCTAAATCTGTTAGTTATTAAAATTTTTAGTTTGGCATCTCACACATGCAAATAAGTTTCATTTGAAGATCTAAGTTACATTATGAGTTCCCTATCACCCTTAAAAGTTTTATTCAAGCAATATATATGTACATTACCATTCAATTATGCACAGCCAGCCTTTGATCCAGAAAAAAGAATTACTTTAAGCCGCTTACTCCTTATTTTAACCAGCAGTAAACTGTATTAAGCAGGAAAAACTTACTAGTTTTGGGTTTCAACAAGCTAGAAATGGTGAGGTGAGGCTGCCGGACTGACGGCCAGGAAGAATTTGCTGAAAAGGTTTTGCCAGATGTTGCGTTGGATTTAGTTGGTTGGCGAAGGGGGTGTTGTGGATTTTTCCTGCTTTTTTGTTAGCCGAAGGCTGCTGCTGTAGTTGTTGTGAAGACATTTGGTAAATAAACAGCTGAGCTGATTGGCCAGGAATGTGTGGGCGGTCGAGGTGGCTGCTGCCGATTTGGTTAAGGTTGGAGAGAAGGCTGAGAGAAAACAGCATGCTCGGGAACCAAAGGGCGGTGCAACCTGACGACTGGCCATGCCTGGGTCATGTGAAACGACACCAGCCAAGCTGAAATGGGGCGCGCTGGTCACATGACGCTGAAAGGGCTAGTTGACTGGCTAATGCAGACTCAGAGGGTGGTGAGAAGAGACATGATGGTGACTCTGTAACGGGGTTCATTTTTATTAATAGATGGACCAAAAAGCACAAAAAAAAATGAAAAACAAGCCATCAGTACAACCATCTATTAGCTAACAAATACTCTTTATTATGATGGGCAACAGTGTGCTGTTTTTCAAAATAGCAAAAGGGGCAAGATTTTGAACTCCTATCTCCTAGCAGGACTTCACTCACCTGTAAGAGGTAAATTCAGTCCTATAGAAACTATTTTGGAGGTTTGAGGAGATGTGGAGTTAGCATCCAGACAACACTGTCTGGGCCAAGAATGATGCCATTTTCAATTATAAAAAAACTGATTTCTCTTCTATTTGGGTTTGAAGAATAGATGACTGGGATTACTTTTTTAGCCCCCTTTATTGGTCAGTGACTTAAAGTTAGTTTCAGAAAGATTTCTACTTTACCAGTTGTAACATTAAAACAGCTGCCTGATTGATAAATATTACAATCGTGCTAATAGTAGAAAACACACTTTTGTGAAGAGCTAGAGTTGAATGTAATGTTTGTCATTATGGAGTCAAGAAATGGAAAAAGGCCTAAATTGATGTATAAGGGAAGACTTGGAAAGATGCAACTAGAAGATGAACTAGAAGACAGATCCAAGATAGAAGTTACTGACTACCAACATGAACCTAAAGACAAAAGCCAACACTCAGCACAACTCACATACCCCAAACTACACCCAGCAAATGTTTCATAAAAACCTCCGATTCTTCACAGTAAGTTTAAAACCCACCAACAAACTTTAAGAGAAATACCTGCTCCTATTAGCTACTCCATTACACCAAACCTCTAAACACGCTCTCTCAAGTACCTGCGACGAGGTGGAGGACTCCTTCTCCGGTAATCATCTCTAGGGCGGCGACCCCAAGAGGGAGGTGGGCCACGATTTCGACTTCTCTTTTCACCATTCGACAGTTCCACTCTTACTCGGCAGCCACATAGTGTTCTTGGAAATAAAAAAACACCAAATTTAAAGCAACCAAACTTATTTTCTAAAAGATGTGTATTAAAAAAAAGCAAAAAGCACTTCTAGTTTGCATCTTAGCAAGAAATATTTTGATCTTACTCTATATTCGCTGGTCTATCCACCCCCACCCATGTCCATGTAAACAGCAATAAATAGAAGACTTTTAGCCATTTACATCACCCTTTCCCTTTAATTCAGCGCCCAATAGTGTGACACAAAAAACTGCAACCACCATTAAGTTTAGATATGCCACCACATTTGGACAGTGACTGGAAAGAGGTAAGGCCCTGAAAATGTTTCTGTAATCTGCTTGGATAAAGCAGCTTTTTTATACAGCCAATCCTCAGGCCATTTAATTTTAGGGTATTAAGGGTTTAGAGTTTTCCTTAGTTTCACCAGATCCAACAGTTTCAAAGGCCAAACAAAAGGGGAAAAACAATATTCCCCTTTTCACTATTAAGACTCAAGTATTACCAGTCAGCTAATAGGATACTAATTACTGAGGGAAATTGCTATACACCTCATACTTTCTAAAAGTGGTGCATCACACATGTAAAAGATAATGGTACAATAACCCCCCATGTAACCTTAATTCAGCTACAATTATCAGTTCCTGGCCTTTCTTTTAGAAATATGATCCCACAATTGTTTTTAGAAACAATTCTAAAGTGACAATACAGCTGACAGTGGAGAATTTAAATTAAATGCTTTGACCATTTTTTGGATACATCTATCCACCAAGAATCGACTATTAAATTTCTTATTTTCTTCTACAGCCAACTGAATTAAAAAACAAAAGAACCGTCCTACGTATCTCTACTAAAGCTGTTCAGCCCTTTTTTTGATTGCAAAAAAGGTTTATGTAAATCTCCAATAACATCAATTTCAGATACTCAACAAGGCACTCAGAACCACGTATCCTAGTTTTTAAGTCTTAGAAACTCAAGCAACATATTTACTGTTAGTATAAACTGATGATTATATTACCTCCCATCTAGCTCTCGAACAGCATCGGCTGCATCTCGGGGATCTTCAAATTCAACAAAAGCAAAGCCGGGAGGGTTTCTAGCAACCCACACACTTCGGAGTGGTCCATAATAGCCAAAAGCTCGTTCCAATTCAGTCTTGTTACCGTTGTTTCCAAGATTACCTACATAAACCTTACAATCCAATGGACAGGAATCACGATGCATTTCTGTTTAAAAAAAAATTTAATATTTTACCCAAATCATCTCTGCAATGAAAAACAAAGCCTTAGAGACCACTGACAAAATATTAAAAACCAAGCAAGTAAAATTACCACCCCTGAAACACCCATTTCTCCCTAATTCAGGGGTGCCCAACCTTTTGATGTCTCTGGGTCACACTGGAAGAGTTGTTGTCCCGGGTCACATGTTAAATACATTGGAACATATAGTCACACAGACACACAAAAAAAACCCTCAATGTTTTAAGTAAATTTATGATTTTGTGTTGGGCCACATGAGGCCCTTTGGCTGGACACAATTGTTCCTGGTAACTGTCAGGAAGCCAGCACAAACTGCTTAAGGTGAAAAAAGCCTCCTTGAAAAGTGAGGGAAAAGAAACACTGAAACACTGGAGGTACGATTACTACAGTGCAGGCACTGAGTTAGGGACTTCACATGTTATTTCAATTAGTCCCAAAATAAAGCACTTCGACATGGACGATAACCTGCTCAGAAGCAAATCCTGAGGCTCAAAAATCAAATGAAACAGTGCAGAAGGATAAGCCACTAGAAAAGTGATAAAAATGTGCCTTGTAAGCCAAAACTTAACCTCGAACAGCAAGACAAAGTGTTAAGAGGTTTTTTAGGTTACCAGCAAAAAGATATTGGCCCAAGTGTCCATCAACGGATAAGCAAAATCTATAAGCCATACAATGGAATATTATTCAGGGAAAGTAGTACTGATAAATGCTACAAACCTAAAAGGAAAACATGGTTAAGTTACTGATGCCAAACACAAAAGTGCGTGTGTTACGATTCCATCCATTATTAAATGTCCAGAACAGGTAAATCCAGAGGAAGGTTAGTGGTTACATTTGCTATTCAGGAACTAACTGCACTTTAGGGGCTTGTATTTAACTACTTAAAGTCCCTAGGCAATGTTCCCAATCGCCTTGCAGGCTTGTTTCAAAGGCATTAAAGAGCGGCCTCCTCAAAAACTGAGCTCAAGGGCTTTTTCATAAACACCACGTTCTTCTCACTTTGGGCTTATGCAATTAAAAAAAAAAAATACAGATCCATCCTATTTGCGTGACCACACCCTGTGCCCCGGAGTCACGACCAAACCACTAGTTTCAGGTCTACGGATTAATGGGAAGCAGCTACAAGACCAATGTTGCCCACAGAAGATTGGGTTGCGGGGGTGGGGGGGGGACCTAGGTTCAACGTGTAAAAAGTTGTCACATTAGAACATGAAAATAAAGGTGAGTACAGAAAACATTTATATGCTCCGAATGTCCAGTTTTGTTTAGTGACTTGAAGAAATCGTAGAAGCTTAAGAAAACGTGGGGCAAAAAAAAAAAAAAAAAGGCGCCATAAATTGAAACACCGCGCGGCCTGGAGTCCGGTACGATTACCGGCCCTTCCTTCCGCCTCAACAGTCGAGTAATCCGAAACTCCGGTTCACCTCCCAGTAAGGGTTTGTAGACACCTCCACTTCAAGGCCAGGTTACGGCCTTGAGTGGGCATTAAGCCCCTGCCACCGCCCCATGCTGAACGTCACAAAATGGCGGCGCCGTCCCTTTGTCTCAATCTGGCGCCGCCATTGGGCCTGGCCCCACCTCGGCACAGTTGTTTCGGTTCTCCCTTCAAGCCTTTGGACGCTGGTCTCTTACCGAGATCTTGAATTAGGGACTCAGCGGCTTAAATTCGCACACCTTCCGACGGCTCTTCCTCGCTCCTCCGCCCGGCTCCCACAGATGCTTTCCCCTACCCGGCGTCCACGAAATGGCGGACCACCGCCTTCTCCTTGCCCTTATTTATACGGCATGCTGGAATCACATGATTGGACAGGTTCGCCCAATGAGATGCCAAGAATGCCGTGACGTAGCGGCAACAAACGCAACGAACCGCCGATTCTGGGAGCGCGCTCTGTGTGCGCCGCCTGCCCTGTAGAGATGCGAGCCGTCGCGTTCTCGTGATCCCCAAACCTGTAGCTCGCTCCGGTGTTGTTTCCCGGTTTTCGGTCTCCAAGTTATTATCAGTCTGCTCTCCTTCCTCTCCAAATGGGCTAGAGTTCTTAACGCTACTGCCATCACTTCCCAAAGCTCCTAATAAGATGTAGGTACTAGACGAATTCATTACTTGATCCTCGTCTGCGGTTTGGTCTAAGACCATCGCGTTTACAAACGTGCTTCAAAGTTGCTCCCAAGGTCACTGAGCTGTGTGACCGAGCTGCCATCAGATTGTGCCCGCCAAGTCCTACACTTACGGAAAAGCCGGATCTTGGAAAGTGCCCAACTCTGGCTGGTTTCCCGCCTTTCACCTAAACTACAGAATTTGGCAGAGGCGGGTGGCGTCCTCAGCCTCGCCTCTTAAAATGGTTAATAGAAACTCAAGGACGAATGATCCCTGTCAGCCATCTGGAAACTCGCACCTTTAGCGAATAACAATAAAATGAAGTTGCTGAAGAAGACTGAATTCAAATTCATGCCAGACAAATGCCAGAAAGGCACCTCTGGTATTCTTCCTGGAAAGTGGGGTAAGGGTGGGGTCCGTGAGCCACTCACACCTTCCTGTTTTCCACTCACCCCAGGAAGACAGAGCCCGGGGAATAGTTAACTGTTAAGAGAGAAGTACCGCGACTGTGTTAGAAAAATCACCAGATTTCCATCTCCCGAACTGTCAGCTCAGCTAGAAAATTTGTCTGGTGCCCTCAAACTTTCTCCCCTACGCCCTTGCAGTAGAATCTGACTTACATATTGCTAAAATACATTTAAATCTGCTCTCAAGGAAAAAAAAAAAAGGCAAACGTAACATGTGTTTTCAGTCATTAGCTGAAAGGTATGCCAATTATTTATGTCTTATCTTTCCTAGATGTTTTCCTTTGAAGCCTTATCTCTCTAAAAGGTTTTTATGTAATGAAAAAAACACGAAGATTTAATCACTCTGAGCCTTCTTTTTTTCATTTGTAAAATGGGAATTTCATATCGCAGAGAAGAGGGTAATGGGAATTCCAGTTGCGGAGCTAGGCCTGGGGTGTTGAGGCCGGTGGGAGGGGGGTGCGTTCAAGCAAACCCTCTCTCTTTCACTTTTTTCTTTTCTTTCGTTCTCTAAATGTTTTTCTCTTCTGGTTCACTTATGTTTGCCTTTGCTTGTTCCTCTCCTCTGTGTAAGCTTTTCTCTTCTTTGTAATTTTTTCTTCTGCCAAAGCCAAGTCAGGTAGTCCTGGATTTGGACCACAGCCCCACTGCCAGTTACTGATAAAGTGTCTTGAAAAGAATCCCTTACCCTGTCAGAATTAGCTTCCTCTGTAAAATGGAATAATAATGCCAGACTTGCAGGGTTGCTAGGTGCTGTAGCCTCCCACAGGAATTTCAGCTTTTGTTTTTTGTGGCCCCTGCTGCATCCTCAGGACCTGGATACAAATCTGGCACACAGCACAGGCCATCGATATGTATCTATTTAATTATTTAATTAATTAAAAGAAGTATGTGTGTAAATCACCTGGCACAATCTCTACTCAAAAAATGCTGGCTCTTTTTAAATGTTCCTTTCACATCTCAGTATCTCATCCTTTCCCACCATTTTTCCTGTTTTTGTTTTTGTGTAATGCTAGTCTAGTATGCATCTCTCAGTGAAGCTCTCTTAATTCCTCCAACTGTATTTATGAATAACATTTTGAACCTCCTCTGGCTATCCAAACATACTTTCCATTTTCTGGTAACTGCAGCCAAATGAATTATCCATTTCAATTCTGGAATATTTTAATGTTCCTGATTTTTTAAATTATATTTTATTGTTTATGCTATTACAGTTGTCCCAATTTTTTCCTCTTTGCCCCCCCCTCTACCTATTCCCCTGCCCCCACACCCTCTGTTCCTTTTACTTTATTTGACCACCAACCATCCTTGTCTAGACCCTAGAACCACATGAAGCTTAAGAGGACCTATCAGAATTTCTTGGTAGGGACAGGAAATGAGCTCATATGTTACAGTGAACATCTCTTGATTTCTTTGGGGGAACTACCTTTCTCACAAGTAGACCATGATTGAAATGCAGTTGTGCTGGCCCTACCACCCACTTTTTCATGGGTGGGGACATGACCACCCTTGGTTAATTAAATCATTCCAGTTCTTAGTCCCCACTTCCATCCCCATTAAAAATGATGACTAATCCAATCAGAACAGAGGTGTGCTCATTGCCTCTGATTAATGGGGTCCTGAGGCAGGGCAACCATCCTGTTTCCAGAAGGGAAGAAGAAGCCTGTGGTAGACACAACCTAAAGGCAGAGAGAGCTAAGAGACGGGGAATAAAGAGCCCTGGACCTGTCCTTGTAGAAGCCCTGAACCTAATTCCACTCTTGGAATTCCCAGTTATTTGAACATACAATTTCCCTATCTCTTCTCCCAACTTGCCTACGCCACTTAGAGTTGATTTTTTTTTTTCTGTCAAGCGCACACAGAAAGAGTCCAAACATAGAAATTACTCTGACACACGCTTCTCACTACCTCAAGTTGAGAGCCATGGTACTAACTTATGTTCCAATTCTAAAAAATTCACCCATTCCCAATAAACTAAGTACATTGCTAATTTAAGAAAAAAGTTATTGATAGTCAGGCACTATACCTATGTATAATAATTAATACTTTAAATACTGTGGTTGACTCCAAGGAAAATCCAGTAAGAGTATGGAACATAACAATAGTTCAGCCCTGGCTGGTATAGTCCAATGGATTGAGAACCAGTCCACGAACCAAAAGGTCACTGGTTGGGGATATGCAAGAGGTAACCAGTGTTTCTCTCCCTCTCTTCCTTACCCTCTCTGTAAAAATAAATTTAAAAAAAAATTTTTTTTTAAACCTTAAAAAAAAAGTTCATTAACTGCTTGGTTCAATGTCCTGGCAGTAAGCAAATAGCACAGTTAACAAAGGGTTATTTACAGAGATATGGGCAGGGTTAGGGAAGGAAGGTGCGACTCCTGGAGGCAGCTCGTAGGCCCAAAGAGGCAAGAATGAGTAGGGTTAGCAGAACCAGGCAAGCGCTGTAGCTATGAAGAGAGGCCACTGTGGCCTTAAGTAGAGGAAGTGTGGCAGCCCAGTTGTGGGGAGTGTTTTTTTGTTTGTTTTTTTGTTATTTGTTTGGAAGGGAACAGGATCAGAGGCGAGAGAACTGGACTACCCTCTCTTCCCATAGTCCCACAGTTTAGTGGCACCTCCTAAAATCCAAAGCCATCTGGAAACCTAAAAGCAAGAGAGCTGGGTGATGCAAGCTTAGAAGTCAGCATCCTAGGACACAGAGAAGAGAAGGCTGGAGAACTAATCCAGGGCCGTGCTGTTTAGTATAGAAGCCATTAGGCCCATGTGGCTGAGTCTGAAATGAGATGTGTTGTATTGGGCTGGCCAAAAAGTTGATTTGTTTTTTTCCATAAAATGGCTCTAGTAGCACTTAGTTGTCTTTAGCTTCCTTCGAGACAATTTTGTTAGATTGTATTGTGACATCTGTCATATCAGCGTGCATTTAAAAAAAAAGCTTATCCAAATTGGTGAATTTTTGTGTAGCTGTTTTAATATTGAAAATGGAAGAAAATACACATTATCAGATATTATGCTTTATTATTTCAAGAAAGGTAAAAACACAACTGAAATGCAAAAAAAAAAAGATGTGTGCAGTATATGAAGAAGGTGCTGTGACTGATCAAACATGTCAAAAGTGGTGTGTGAAGTTTCATGCTGGAGATTTCTCTCTGGATGGTGCTGCACAGTCAGGTAGATCAATTGAAGTTGATAACAATCAAACAGAACAATGAACATTATACCACGCAGGAGATAGCTGACATACTCAAAATATCCAAATCAATAAAGTTATTGGTGAAAATGAAAAATCTGTCTTTTATTTTACGGAAAAAAAATATGAACTTTTGGCCAACCCAATAAATGTAAAACACATGCTGGATTTCAAACAGTAAAAAATAAATAAATAAAAGAATGTAAAATATCTCGTTATAAATTTTTATATTGATTGCATGTTGATATATTTTTGATGTGTTAATTTAAAAAACTATATTATTAAAATTAACTTCATCTATGTCTTTCAATTTTTTTCACCATGGCTATTAGAACACTTAAAATTATATGTGCGGCTCACATTATATTTCTATTGGGTAGTGTTGCTCTATCAGGAAAAATGGAAAATAACCACACACAATTACAACAAATAATCATTTAAAAACTCATTTTAACTGTACAGTTTCATGCATATGTGGAATCTAAAAACAAACACAAAAAAATGAACAAACAAAATAAAACAGACTTATAGAAACAGGGATGGTTACCAGAAGGGAGATGTTGCGGGGGGGGGGGAGGGTGAAAACAGTGAAGGGGAACAGAGTCAATAGTCTGCTAAGTTTCCATGGTGACAGATGATTACTAGAATTTGTGGTGGTGACCACATTGTAAGTTATAAAAATGTTGAATCACTATATTGTATACTTGATACTAACATACTAATAAAACACCGTATACAAACCATACTTAAATAAAATTTTTAAAAATCAGCAAAACTTTAATGAAATAAATTCTCATAAGAAAAATAAATAAATAAAAACTCAGTTCCATATCCTGGACTACTATGTGGGAACAGTGTTTCTGCAAATTATATAATTTTAAGCTTAAACAATTTTTTGATACTTTGAAATATCACCCTCCTATATGTATTTTTATATGATTACTTGAAAAAGCTTGGATTATATTACATAGTTAACAATCATTCATTCATTCATTCAAGAAGTAT